GTCCCCCAGCTGCCAGAAGGCGTGAAACAGGTTCAGATCGTCGACTTTTCGCGATCTTCTTCAGTTCCCCAACAATCTTTTCGGCCATTGTCAGCCCAGGCAACGACTGAATTGGTATAACGTTCGATAACGGCAACACCCTTAGGGGCAGGTGGATAAGTTTAACGGGAGACCTCTTCACGAACACCGACCCTCCTCGTTTCTCATTCTGGATGGAGAACGGCAATTTAAACAGCAAAGACAGACATTCTTGCCACGAAAGCAACAATAGAAGGCACAGGAATATACTGCGTTACATGTATTCTAGAATCACTAGAACTTGATACACGCATAACACGATTCACCGATGACCGCCAGGAAGAACTACACGGAACACGAGCTATAAGTCACTGGTTGCATGAAAAATGAAATCTTGTCGATTCTTCGAAGAATCATAAACAATCTTTTAAATCATGTACTTCTGACAAAGACTTCTCCGCGTGCCAACTGATTCAGGGAGTAATGTACATTACAGCAGAAACAGAACACAAACAACACCCGACTAAGCAGAGCTAAATACTGTCAACGACTACTTTTCATAGTTCTGCCTTTAGAGATTCTGAATTTTTGCCACTGTTACGAATGAATCGAAGAGGTACTGCAGCTGATGCTTAGCCAAGATCTTTCCTAAATCAAAGATTTACAGCCAGTAATGTTGGTAAAGCGAAATCTAGATACAATTTGCCTTTCTTTCTAAAAATTATGATCATTTTTGATTCTGAAAAAAAGTTCCGACAAGCGAAGTATTTATCCATTTCAAACACTTGACCTCACTAGATAACTTAGCATTTTAATCGCGGCATGGGATCTATTTATTACTGTTATGTCGGCAAGTACGACAAAATATTAATTGCAGTTCCACTTCAATAAAAGAGCAACCGCGACGAGCGAAGTCTGTACATTTAAAGGGAACGATTGTTAGTTGGTTAAATTTTTGGGTTTGGTTGGAAGATCTTAAATAAACAGTTTTCTTTTATGGAAATGCTTCATTGATTATCACGCAGGCTCAACTCATATCTAATCTGGTGAGTGGGTTCAATCTTACGTAATCTCTTCGACAGATCTAATGGGTATTAATGGGTATTCTGTTATGCTACAAAATGCGGGGATTCTTGGGATACAGTTCATTTGCAGACATTGCTTGTTGAAACCTCATATTGTGAACTGCCTCTAATTGTCTAGTCTTGAGCTTAATGAACGCATCACTACCTTAGTACAATTTGATTCGTTGCTAGCTTTCACAGTATTTCATTTTTTGCTAAGTATTTTGCCGCAAACGGCTGATAAAAAACTGTGAGCTACTGCCTGCTACTGTGGTAAATTGAAGTGATTAAAGGGAGAAGAAGATATCTGCACAAGGCCAGGCATACTATTGCTGAATAATGCAATACCATAATATATAAATTTTTTATGTGCCTACATAGTTTGTCATTAACCAGTGTGTCATCCAAAGGAATCTTTTGTTTATTCTTTTATACAGCTACAAAAGGAATTTTTTCTTTCCAGGCAGCAGACTCGGTTTATAATGACCGCCTTAGAAGACTAGCTTAAAGAAGTAACTTTATCACTACAAATATCTTCAATTAGAGCACTAATTTTAAGACAATATATTACATTGATCACATTTATAACGCATAAACGTATTTCAAAGTATGATAATTAACTGATTGTTGAACTCGTCCTTTCTTTTGAAAGGCCATTAGACAGAGACATTTTAGTCCCTTATTCACAAGACAATGAAGCATTTAAGAAGGAATTAGTGATTTAACTTCTACAAGGACCATTACGGAGGCCCACAAAATGCTATTCGAGCGCTAAAATTTCAGTGAAACAATGATGTGCCAATAAGTCACGCGGAGTTCTATACGTAGTACCAGATGCCATTTGTCGCCGAAGTTTAATACTGTGAACAGCGCACCGATTACTGCAAAAAATGGCAGTTAATGGCGGTATCTTGCGAAGATCTATTCATCCTCCCGCACGTACTTAGCAACGCAAGTTGCATAGTAAAATAACTGTGCATCGATTCTGTGCTTGTTTCAAGAAATGATAAGCGGCTATCTGAGCGAGCAACAAGGAACTCCGTTGACAGATCCTCTGTTCTTTGCACATTAATGACCTAATTGAAAACACTTTACAGCATTATGCTCTAATTCTTTTGATTTAAATTTCATATTATATTTTGTTTCAGGCGGTTGTACACATATGGTATAACAACTTTCACGACAAACATTCTTCTACACATGTGACCGACGGTAGCAGCACAAATATCGTCGAATGGATTTCTCGGTGAGTAGAAGCATGCTATGTGCAAGCGATAAATGCAACCAACGCCGGGTTGCAATTATTTCAATCTTTCACAAAGCAAAGCTTCAACAGCAGAGCAATGCCAGACCAAACGCGTAGTACATCTGACAAAAGACGAAATTTGGCAAAATGTTCCAAGAGAACAATGGGTATTCTTGATCTGTAACACTTCTCCCAAAGCGAGGCTAACTGAGCAACATTGCGTAAATCGGTTAAATACCCCATTTTCAATTCAGCGGACACGCAAATCAAGACTGGCAAATCATATACTTTATTCATTAAGTCATTCCAGATATTAGTACAAGATCATTATTACACACGCAATTCATAAGTATTCACATTTTAAACGTATGAACATTAACAAAAAAGCGATACAAACAGCTGTAACATTTTGCAAAAGCAACCGTATGTACAATTTGGTTAGCATAAAAGTAACAGTAAATGAGAAATCGTAGTTGCCAAAGGGAGGTAAATCAGTTCATAAAAAATCATAAGCAGACGTTCACATTCCCGTCGTTAATGACAGCACTGAAGCTTCCACCTGAGCCACTTGAATATGAGTGGTCCGGGTCAGATTTGCATTTGATGAGAGTGTTCTTGATACCTAATTTCGAAACTATTCGACGTCTGAAATTTGGTTTAAATTTAGACTTCGCCTTCTTTGATAATATTGCCTGAAAATCACTATCACGATGGGAAACGCCTTCCTCTTCGTCGACCATGTTCTCCAGCTCATCGACGTCACCTTTGTTGAGAGGGTGCAAGGAGATGTCGCGAACGGCACGAAACTGTCCGCAATTATTCAGGTGCTCATTCTCTAGACGGAAAAAGTTCCAGATGAATCGTCGAAAGCATTCGAGCGGGGCAGTTACAGACAACAGAACGTCAGCTTCAGTCAGCCACGCATCGCCCAAACTCACGTTTAGCACCCAAGTGATGCGCAAAAAAAAATCAATCACTATCGCCAAGTAATAGTACCATTTCCTATTGTAAACAAGTTCTTCCCGCAAGTATTTGTTATTCCCACAATTTCGGTCGAGTAGACCCCAATCCATTTTAATATCCCACACATAAGTATAACCAAAACTAACAACATTGGCAATGATCCACAGAAAAAAACACGGACCAAATGTATTACCACTGGACAGATGGTACTTGTTTTGTTTGTGTGATGTGTTAAGCGCCCCAAAAATGACAACGAACAGAGTTGTGCTGTATTTTCCCGCATTAACTAAGTGAGGGAAAAAGGATTTTGAATCAGAGTATCTTCGGAGACACTGCAAAAACCGGATCAGTGCAGGTAATAGGGAAATAATCGGTCTGATTCCGTATGCGCTACTGCTGCAGGTATCTAAGAGATAGTTGGACGGATGAACGCCCCACGCTAACTCTCTGGAACGCGTCAGATTTCCCACCGTGGAGTTCTCATCATGTAAGAAAATGATCTGCATGCCGTGTGTGTAGTCAACCTCGCAGCTGTAAAAGCAGAAGAAATACTGAAAGTCAAGGAAAAGCGTAACTAAACTGTTCATCTGATCGCCAAGCCAAAAGTCGGCGAACGTCACCTTATGGAAAGGACTGGTAAAACAATTGTACAGGTGGCGCAGCAGCCAGTAACGGGAGCTTCGCGAACAGACGTCAAACGGATTTAAGGTCCAAGTGACCAAGAACAGCATCAATATCAACGGAAAGATCAACGGTGATAAGTTCATATGTCCCGCATATAAAAAACCTAAGACACACATCATCCACATCACCAAGAACATGCTACTAATCTCAAGCAATCTCTGATATGTGAGGTGGCGGCGTGGGTCAACCTCGAAGATGAGCACGTGATTGACACCGTGACGTTGCCAGCCATACATATTTACTCCAATCAGAAATATGTTAACGAAGAGGATAAGGAAACCACGGAACATGCGGACGGCCACCCAACGAGGTTCGTCGACGTGCAAAATCAACGCGATGGTCAGAACGGCTAAGCACAAAAGCACAACGAAGATGCCGAGATAGAAACCGAGCAGAAACGTTGTCCACGGCTGCTGCTTCTCGCTAAATGGCGCGACGCGTAGTCGCTTCATCGCAGCCTGACGGTCGCCTTTCTCTAGACCGGTAGTGAATGCGTTTTCGGTTAATTCGATCAATTTGTCGATCTCATTGTGGAGGACGAACGATGAATTGTCGACATGGGCCATCCGCCATTCAGAACCTTTTGTGGTCTGCAACACCTTGTCGTGTTTTTTCAAGATCTTTCGAAAGCCGGTAGTGTTCAATTGCTGGTAGTTTTGCAGGAGCACCAGACTGAGGTAGAACTCGCTGAACGCATTTTTCAGCTCAGAGATCGTCTTCCGAGGGGACTGAGAACCTATTTCATCCGGTACAGCCATCACTCTTATCGACATCATGTTCAATAGCTTCTTCTTAAGCGATGGCGATGGTTGCATGCGCCTCAAGTTTGCCTTTGATTTCTCTAACGTTTGCGCAAGCTCACAGGTAAGCTCTCGATACTGCTCATGCGCTTCGGCAATCTTGCGATTGAAGAATAGATTGATCTTGTCGAATTCTTCGGCACAAAATTTAAAGAACGCTTCATCCCGCTGGACGATAATCCTTTCACGACGCTGTCTATCTTGCTCAGTGCTAGGAACACTCTGCAGTATTTCGTACACCATCACCTTCATCGCTTCGTATTGTATGTACTGCTTGCGCCACTCTGGTGTAAGGTGAGACGACAGATGTTCGCCGAATTTCATTCTTCTTCCTTCTGACACATCAAAGGCACGCCACTATCTAAACAGCAAACCTAATGACTGAAAAATTTCAAACACGAGAAAACACAGAACTTACGCAGTACAAAATTCTGAATTTTAGGTATAATGCCGATTATCACTTTTAGAATCATTCGAATGGTTCCTGAGCTACC